ATTATTATTTTACTTACAATTCTCCCGACTTCATTGTTGTGCAGATTAATCAGCGCGCGGGTATCGTGTCCTGTTTCCAAAGCATCCACGAAGAGCTTGGAAATCCTCTCCCCAAACTCCACGTTGTCGCTGCATCCTCCCCAGACCCAGCCTCGGCCACCTGCAAGACAGAGGCACGCTAAGCTCAGAACCGCCCCGCTGGGCCGAATTCTGCCCTGAAATCCTGGGGGAGCTGCAGGTGAGGATGGACAGACGCAATGTCAGCCCGTCTTGGGGCGGCAGCCCACCGACGCGGCCGGTTCTGGCGTCTACAGCTCTCAAAGTCTCCCATGCTGCAGTTCCTGGTGAGGGTGTACATGACGCCGGCCGAGCTGATGGCGTGTACGAAGGATGTTTCCCGGGTAGCTGGGGAAAGGGGAAAAAAAAAGCTGTCAGGTGCAAACATAGGCATCGGTCCTGGTTTATTGGGAAAAAAGCTCTCCTGCATTGCAAAGGTGCAAGAAGGGAAAAAAAAGTGCAAAATGACAAGAAAACAGTTTGTGCAAAAGGTAACGTGCTCCAGAAATTAAATGCTCGTGACTGGAGCCTTTGCAGGTGTCAGCATCAAGGGGTTCAGGAATTTGGTGTAATATTACGCAGGTGTCCGTGCACGGGATGGAGTTTGTTGGCAAGAGTAGAACTTTGAGGCAATGCCCCAGTCCTGCTCTGGCCAAGGTGAGTTACCACTCCCTTCACCCGGCACTTGGTTCGTCTCTGTCCGTTCCTGCTCAGAGCAGGGGGTATGTTCCTGCTTTGATCTTGCCTGCTGAGGAAAATCATCATTGATCGTGTTTCAGTCAGCCGTTCAGCCTGTGCTCACAGCTGGCTGCACCCACATTTCTACTTCAGTTTCTTTTTTGGCTTTCCTAACAGATTCAAAAAGAGATGCTGCGCTAGGAAAAAAAAAAAGAGAATTCTACTTGTTGGAGTAGATAGTATTGAACTGTAACTACAGATTTCTTATGAGGCAGTTTCTTAGTGCATGACTCTAGTTTCTCCCTTCATCTCTCCTGTGCCTCTCCCCAAGGCAAGCTCAGGTGCCTCCAGCATTGAGCTGCCCAGGATGCTGCACGCGCAGTGACAGGAGCAAACGCACGGAGCAGCGCTGCAGGAAGGACTGAACTCTTGCTCGGATGGAGAGAGCCTGGGATTACTAGAAAAATATTAGCACTATTTATTATACCAAGAGGAAAACAACCATGAGTTTTGGGACACCAAACCCTCCTCCATGGGTCAGTTTAATTAGCAGCCCCAGCTCTCTCCGGGGCGCGTCCCGGCTCCTACCCGACAGCATCCCAGGATGGGTGAAGGTGCACTCACCGCTGCGGAGCCGGTTGTGGGTGGAGAGCTGCAGGGCGCTCTCGGGGCAGTTCCAGCGCTCCCATCCGAACTGGAACTTGCACTCCTCCATCCCGCTGTGCGCCCCGGCCGCCACGCTGCTGGAGTACGTCAGGTAAGCCTGGCACGGGAAAAAGCGTGGTTAAAATCCACCACGTTTTGTCATTTATCCGTGGTAACGGGCATAAACAGGTTGCAATTGCCTCATTGCTCAGCAGGACTTGGAGTCAGTGTGCTCCAGGAAGTGGGGTTCCTTGGAAAAGTCCTATTTCCCATTTGCAAACCAAAATTGCTCTACTTAAATCCCGACAGCCCGCGTGTTAATTACCTTAGGTCCTGTCATCAGAAAGTTATTCACAGACCTGAAACAAAGAAAAGAAAATGAATCACACCGTTTACCGCAGGCTGAAGAGCATCCCTGGAAAAAACACCCTTTCTGCTGAATTGGACCCTACCATGCTGCTGCGTGGAGAATGACACCATAGAGCCCTGCGATGGAGAGGATGAAGGAGGTGCTTCTCTCCATGGCTGACCCAAGGAGCAGGGCTGGATCCCTTTCCCTGCTCCGTATCTCTCTGCACCCCAGGTCCCTGAGCTCCCTTCCCAAGGTGAGCTACGGGGATGGAGGAAAGCTGCAGGAACCTACAACCCTGATATTTATAAGGTGAAGTTGTGAATAGTCAAAACCCCCCCATTCATTTGCTACCCAATGACTTAATGTGGTAAAAAGCTCCCGCTCCAATGGGTGACAAGGAACCGCCTAAGGTTGCACTTCAAAAGGCGGCGCGATGTCCCTGGGAGCGGGATGGTCTGAAGGAGAGCAAACTTCCCTAACAATGGGACACTTTTAACTCTCTTCCCCACCACCAGCCATCCCTTTCTCTTGGCCCCGAGTCCGCTTGCCTTCTCCTTTTCATCCTCTGCTCGCCAGCAGAGGCTCAGTCCCTGCATCCTTCCGAAACAGCAAGCTGTGCATTTCTCTAGTTCCCCTGCTATCTGCCTGCTCCCTCCTATGAGAACTCCCCGAGGAGTTTTAACCGCTGTTCTGTAAAGATCCAGAGGCGATAGACCTCCCAGGCCTCCCTGATTTGAAGAGATGTGTTTAACGGCAGAGCTTTTTTCTCCCCTCTTCGCCTCTTTATGATGAAAGTTTCTGCGTTTCCATCCTGATAACAGCGTGCACCGCTCGGGAGTGTGTGGAAATCTCTCTCATTTACGCCGCTGCAGCTTGGGAACGGTGTGTGAATCATTTATGTGGTTTGCTCCATGCTCTAACGCTGTAATTAGGGGAACAGTTTTCTGGGGTTAGTAATTTCCCTACGGTGGAGGCTGCCACAGCAGAGGCACGGGTGCTCGCTGGCTTTGCAGGCAGGAGCTGCCCCTACCCCTGAACGGAGTGCGGGGCCTCTGCAGCCCTCAAGCCGTGCTTGGGAAAGGAAAATCCTTATCAGAGGAACCCCCCGAAAGCCTCTAAATAGTTAGAGCCAATATCATTAAGGGCGGCGAGGAGCCGTAACCTGTGGATGGAGCAGCAGCGTGGTGGTGTTTGTGGAAATCTGTCTTTCTATTTTCCTGTGGCTGAATTCTGTGAATGGTCCCAACCAGGAGCTGGCTCGCAGCGGGCAGGGGTCCTGCGGGCTGAGCAGGGCGCTGCAGGTGCTTGGCCTGAAAGCTGTGTCGTGCCAGGGGGTGCAGCATCTGCCGGGTGCTGGCTCCGCAGCAGGGCAGAGGTGCTGCCCTCCTCCTCCTCTTCTTCTTCCTCTGAGCTCCCCAGCTGACCCCTGGCATCAGTCGCTGCTGCTGCAGGGTGACTCACAAAGGGGCTGCAAACGTGAGGTTCAAGGGAATGAAACCACATGTAGGGCCTGGCGGGGGGCTGTGCTCTGAGCAAAAGGGGCCCACAGGGATAAACTCCATCTTTGCACCCAGGGGAGCATCCCTGGCCAGCGGCACCACAGTCAGGCAGGAGACCTTATGTCTAAAAGACATTTGCAAAGGAACGTTTGCTGTGACATATGAGAGAGTACTGCAAAGGCAGCAGCCTGCCCGATGGTTTTACACGCTGTGTGGTTTTACACGTTGGTTTTACGCTGCGCTGGGTGCCTGACACGCGGGTCTATGGGCTCAGCTCCTGGGGGGCTGTCGCTCCTGTCCCTCCCGCCCAGGAGCAGTCCCTCGCTGCTCTGGCTTTGGGGTCTCTCCATGCCCTGCTGCCTGTCAGCACGCTGGTGAGCGAGAGGAGACCCCCCCTCCTTCCCTCCAGCCCCCACAGAAGGGAAACCTGGAGCCAGCTGGGCAAAGCCACAAACAACTCTTTGCAGTCGGAGGATTAAAATTGCAGATTGGTTGAAAAGCAGGGATGCAAAATACCTTCCAAGTGAGCACAAAGCTGGTGTAGTCCTGCCAGCATGGCAAAACCCTCTATGAGTCAGCATTTTAATCGTTACCATCCCAAACAGATCCTACTTGTTAGAGCTGTCAAAGGGCAATTACTGGGAATAAAGTGTTTCCCATGTATCAGTGAAGTTCATTGGTTAAAGCCCATGCATATGGTTTGGAAATCTGCTGTGCACTTTCTATATGCATTCAGGTCATTTCTGGCTTTGTGTCTGGCTGTCCCTGGGGGCATATTGACGGGTTTTGGCTTTTTTCACTTGTCTGAGAGAGCTTGTACAGCTAGAAAAATGTTGGCATGTCTGCTATGTCAGTTCACACACGATATTCCTATCACATGCCAGAAGAATAACAGCATCTCTGGGTGTGAAGCTCTGCCGCGAGCAGCCACTGCAGTTGGCAGGATCACGCAGCTATTTGCCTGGGCTATTAAAAATGTCCTTTCCAATTAAAGCCACAGAGATCTTAAAAGTCACTTGTAACGTTGTCACTTGCACTAGTTGTCAGCAAACAAAGCAGCGTGCTGGGACAAGCCTTCCTGCGCTGCTGTGGGTTTTTTTTCTGCTTTTACAGCTCGGTCCTGGCGAGTGGGAGCCAGCGCTTCTGCAGGCTCACCCGGCCCAGCAGACCGATGGAATGGCAACCAAACCAGTCATGTCACTGCTGGGCTTTCCCACCTTAGGCAAAAGCAGACTTTGGTCTTGCTGTGTTAATAAATTTTGCTTATGGAGTGCTTCATGCAATGTCCTCGCAGTAAAAGAGATTAAATACAACTGTCTCTGTTTGCAGCTGGGTAAACTGAGGCACAGAGATGGGTGGTCTTGAGATTTTTGGGGTAAATCAGTGGCTGAGCTGGACCGGGTGTAGCTGGTCAGAAGTGATTTTGGTGCTTTGCTCTCTACGTCACTGGGCATGTGTGGGCAAAGCCCAGCTGGGCTCTGGGGCTGGGTGCTCCCCCACCACCCGTCAGAAAAGCCTGTTGGTCGCAGCCTGGGTCACCTGAGCCTCGTGTCCCATTCGTGAAATGATGCCAAAGTTGTTTCTCTTTGGTTTTTCACACTACCTAGAAACTTGCTTTAGGTTTAATCTTGGATGGAAGGGAAAAAAATTAAGTCTGAATGGAAAAAGCTATTGAATGTAACCAGTTATGCAGAAGTTGAAGTGTCACTTGTTCCTCCTGTGTTGCCAAACAGCCAGTGCCCCTCATAAGATGATCGAAATCTGAAATATTTTGGTATCTCCCTCACTCAAGAGACAATGATAGTATATACAGCTCTGTGGAGCCATAAAACCCTATTCATATCAGAATATGGGTTTTAACGGAAGGCAGACATGAGATAAATTGGTTTATATAAGAGCCACTCTCTGCTGGGAGGCAGGTCCCGCAGGGACAGGCTCTTGGATTGTCGGGCAGCGAGCCCCGTGGCTGCGGACACCAGGAAAATAAGCACAGACCACTTGCTAAATTGCCCTCAGCAGGTGACACATTCAGAACCCTAGCGTCAAATCCTGCATTGCTGGCTTTGTCACAATAAAAATCCACCTGGGTAATTAGAAAGTCACCCCCTTGCTGGCGAGGTGGAGGGTGTTTTATGGTGCTCTCCCGCACCCCTCGCCCTGGGGAAGCCGCCTGAGCCCCCACGGGTGATGCCGTGTCTTCCGTCTGGACACAGACAAAGGGGACGTGTCCCTTCGCTCCGAAATACTCTGTCACGGAGGGCTGCAGCTTCAGGGCAATCCTCCTGCACGCTCAACTCTTCGTAGGAATCCTTTGGGGTTTTTTTTTAAGTCTTCCCAACATTCCCATATTGGAGAAAACGTGTCCCCGTTGCTGCTGCAGGGTCCCTCCCGGGCTGCCGCGGTTCCCAGCAGCAGCAAACACCGGCAGGACCCGGCACTGCCGGTGGGAGTTTTGCCTGTATAACAAATGTGTTTTGGTTAATGAATGGTAATTGAGGTTGGAGGTGAAACTGAAATCAGGTTTTATGCCACACCTATCCCATGGGCTTAGTCCTCTTCATTTCTATTTTGGCACGCAGTTAGAAGCAGCCCCGGAGTTCACTGAGAACAAGGTTAAAACATCCAATAGTGCCAGCTTAGGGTGTGCTTTCCTAGCGACAAAATTACCCCAAGGAATTCCTGTCTCCTGCCTTCCCTCAGCACTTTGCTCGCCCTCAGCTGTACCCATGCAATATTTTTTTCCATTTTTCTTTTAATCCCAATTTCCAGCACAGCCTCATGTGCAGCGTGATGCGGTGAGCAGTGAACTTCACCAGAGAGGCCAGGAATGAGTAAATCCGAGGTAAGAGGCTCTGCTACGGAAAGAAACAAACTGTGGAATAGAAAACAAGAGCATCAGGATGCCAAAACCCAGGACCATGGGAGGCTCCATGTTGTGCAGTTTGGGCTTTGATTCTTTTGGTTTCAGGAAGCAAAAAAATGGGGTTTGAAACCCAAATTCTGATTTTTCCAGTCACAAGCCAGCTGGCCACATGGATGCTTCCCAGCAAGGGCTGTCACGGTGATTTGGGAAGAACGTTGTGTCCTTATTGGGGACATAGAAATGACCCCAGGACTGTGGGCACAGAACATTGTGTTTTGGCTAGAAAAGAGAAGATGGAGAAAATGAAGGTGGAAAACTTCTTTTTTTTCCACCAGCAAGAGGCAGATCAGGGGCTCAAGGGGAAGATCCAATTTGCTGTGGGCTCATCACACATCAGGAATGAGCTGGGCGATTACAGCCCTGCCATGGCATGGGGGGCCGGGCTCAGAGACAGTTCGGGACCCCTCCAGCCCCATCGACTACTCCTCTGCTCGTAGAGGGAAGCAGCTGGAGCAGGTGGGGGGTTCACTCCACGAGCATCACCGCCCGTTTCCCTGCGGAAAGTCTCCTGTTGATCCCGGGTTCCCATGCGGTGCTGCCAGCCCTGAATCCCAGCAGACGTCCCCTGGCACCGGGGCGTGGAGCCAAGTGGCCGGTCTGGCCGGGACGGCTGCCTTGGCTGCCTGTCGGCATGGGGCGAGCCAGGAAGGCTGCAACAACCCCCGGCCAAGTTGTCTGGGGGAAGCCGTGGGTGCCACTGGGCTGGAGGCAGGGGCAGGACGCACGGCTGCTGTGGCAGAAGCTCACAC